TTCGTCTGAAAGAAGAAAGTCATATACACCTAGGATGCTTCGAGGGGAAGTAAAACACAGTCTAATTTTCATTTTTGGGTGAACTAACCCTTTAACAGCTGTACAGGAGCACTGAACTCAGTTGAAGCCAGCTCAAGTCAGCAGCTAATATTGCACTGCAAGAGATGCTAGCATTGTGTTACTACAAGTGTATTACCCGTTTTTAATTCTTTGTGAAACTCCCCTAGGACTCTTTACTTTTCTTTTGATTCTTATGAAAAGAGTGTTAATCAAATGAGACCTGATTTAGTTCTATATTTTTTATTCAAGGATAAACTTTCAAAAGCTTTTTTCTTTTGTTGTTTTATATACAGTGGGGCAAAAAAGTATTTAGTCGGCCACCAATTGTGCAAGTTCTCCCACTTAAAAGGATGAGAGAGGCCTGTAATTTTCATCATTGGTATACCTCAACTATGAGAGACAAAATGAGAGAAAAAAAATCTAGAAAATCACATTGTAGGATTTTTAAAGAATTAATTGGTAAATTCCTCTGTAAAATAAGTATTTGGTCACCTACAAAGCAAGATTTCTGTCTCTCACAGACCTGTAACTTCTTCTTTAAGAGGCTCCTCTGTCCTCCACTGGTTACCTGTATTAATGGCATCTGTTTGAACTCGTTATCAGTATAAAAGTCATCTGTCCACAACCTCAAACAGTCACACTCCAAACTCCACCATGGCCAAGACTAAAGAGCTGTCAAAGGACACCAGAAACAAAATTGTAGACCTGCACTAGGCTGGGAAGACTGAATCTGCAATAGGTTAGCAGCTTGGTGTGAAGAAATCAACTGTGGGAGCAATTTTTAGAAAATGGAAGACATACAAGACCACTGATAATCTCCCTCGATCTGGGGCTCCACGCACGATCTCACCCCGTGGGGTCAAAATTATCACAAGAACTGTGAGCAAAAATCCCAGAACCACACGGGGGGACCTAGTGAATGACCTGCAGAGAGCTGGGACCAAAGTAACAAAGGCTACCATCAGTAACACACTGCGCTGCCAGGGACTCAAATCCTGCAGTGCCAGATGTGTCCCCCTGCTTAAGCCAGTACATGTCCAGGCCCGTCTGAAGTTTGCTAGAGAGCATTTGGATGATCCAGAAGAGGATTGGGAGAATGTCATATGGTCAGATGAAACCAAAATAGAACTTTTTGGTAAAAACTCAACTTGTTGTGTTTGGAGGAGAAAGAATGCTGAGTTGCATCCAAAGAACACCATACCTACTGTGAAGCATGGGGGTGGAAACATCATGTTTTGGGGCTGTTTTTCTGCAAAGGGACCAGGATGACTGATCCGTGTAAACGAAAGAATGAATGGGGTCATGTATCGTGAGATTTTGAGTGAAAACCTCCTTCCATCAGCAAGGGCATTGAAGATGAAACGTGGCTGGGTCTTTCAGCATGACAATGATCCCAAACACACCGCCCGGGCAACGAAGGAGTGGCTTCGTAAGAAGCATTTCAAGGTCCTGGAGTGGCCTAGCCAGTCTCCAGATCTCCACCCCCTAGAAAATCTTTGGAGGGAGTTGAAAATCCGTGTTGCCCAGCGACAGCCCCAAAACATTACTGCTCTAGAGGAGATCTGCATGGAGGAATGGGCCAAAATACCAGCAACAGTGTGTGAAAACCTTGTGAAGACTTACAGAAAACGTTTGACCTCTGTTATTGCCAACAAAGGGTATATAACAAAGTATTGAGATGAAATTTTGTTATTGACCAAATACTTATTTTCCACCATAATTTGCAAATAAGTTCTTTAAAACTCCTACAATGTGATTTTTCTGGATTTTTTTTTCTTCTCATTTTGTCTCTCATAGTTGGGGTATACCTATGATGAAAATTACAGGCCTCTCTCATCTTTTTAAGTGGGAGAACTTGCACAATTGGTGGCTGACTAAATACTTTTTTCCCCACTGTATATATCTATACATGTCTTTATGTTGTTTAGCTTAGTGCAGATGTTGGACTGCAATTCATGCAGTGACCACATGATGTCATCATTTACACATTAAAGTCAGTGTTGGGACCTGCCAGAAAAGTCTGAATCAACAGTAGCTGAAGCCTATTTTAAGGTGTCTAAAATGAAAGTCCAATTCTCGCTATTAACAAACCATTAACTACGATTTTTGCCTCAAACTCCTAATTGGGGGGGAAGTCGTGGCCTAATGGTTAGGGTTCGAGTCTCGGACCGGCAGGGATTGTAGGGGGGGGGAGTGAATGTACAGCGCTCTCTCCCACCTTCAATACCACGACTGAGGTGCCCTTGAGCAAGGCACCAAACCCCCAACTGTTCCCCGGGCGCCGCAGCAAAAAAATGGCTGCCCACTGCTCCGGGTGTGTGTTCACGGTATGTGTGTGTTCACTGCTGTGTGTGTGCACTTTGGATGGGATAAATGCAGTAATTCCGAGTATGGGTCACCATACTTGGCCACATGTCACGTCACTTTCATTTTCACTAATTTGCTGCTTATTAATAGTTAGTATTAATAAGCAGCAAATTAGGAGTAGTTGTTAAGGGTAGGTTTAGGGATCATGCAGAATATGTGGGGTAATAACAGGGGTCATGCAGAATATGTGCTTTATAAGTACTAATAAACAGCCAATATGTTAATGATAGGCATGCTAATAAGCAACTAATTAATAGAATTTAGAGAATTAGTCCCTATGCTAAAGTGTTACCAGCCTAATTTATTAAAAAAATATTTATAAAAACGTATGTATTAATTGTGAAGATTATGATGGACATTCAAGTTAATCGTAGTTCTCGCTGAACATTTCACTCCATATTTAACAACCTCTGATTGCTTTTGAGAATCCTATTAAAATGCTTGTTATTTTCATTGACACCTTTGAATAAAATTTGAAATTAGAAGCAGTGCGGAGAAGAGAGAATTACACTGATAGTGCCAGCTAACCTCCCACATGTAGAATCAGTGTGGCTCTTGGGGTTTCAATAGCTAATCAAAACCAATCATGTCTTCTCAGCTACCTTTTACAGTATATGGCACTCTCAACAAAAACTGAAGCATCAAAACACCCAAAACCATATGCTACAAAGTAAGAACAAAAATGCAATGCAATGCATACAATGACTAAGACCAGTTAATACTGTTTTAATCCTGCCTGGGGCACAAAAATAAACTCACCGCCATCAAACTTTATGTAATCAGGCTACATTCATAAGCTGCAGTAGAGCCATTTATTAAAAACAAAAAGCGGGGTTTCATACTGAGATGGTGTTATTACATCTCTCAGTGGAAACAAAGCATCCACTGGAAACCTCTCCTAACTCGCTACAGTTAATCAAGCCTCACAAAAGCAACATAGCCAACTCTACCATCAGATATACACTGAACTTGACTCTTGACAGACTGATATGGCTTTTGTGTGCGGCTGTGCGCGGCTGGTGCACTTCAGCTGAAGGTGCAATTTAATATTTATGCTGGGCGCTGAACGCTCAGTGGGGCTGTTTTTTGTTTTTTTACTAGGAGTTTTCTTTTTATCCCAGAGCGATTACGTTGTTGATTTGATTATGAAAAGGCTTTAGCTATGGGAAGTCCTGGGCAAAAACTGTGGCGTTAGATCTTGCAGGTGCATTCAAGTTTAATATGCTGCTCATTGCTCATATGGAATCACATGGAAAATCTTTAATAAGTTGTTTTACATGAAGAGAAGAAGTCTATGAGGGCATCATGTTTGCAATGGAACGGATTGCTGAATTTTTGTTTAGAAGAAAAAAATCAGGATCCTGCAAGAGAGGATCATGGAAAAGCCAAAGCTATACCCTTCCTGATTCCAGGTACTGTATGTTCTCAAACAGAAAAAAAGGGATATTTTTAGTCAATTTGGTGGTTGTTTATTTGTATATCTATTTATTATTTTATTAAGGCTTCTACTAAATGTATTACTGCATTGAAAAATATTTTATCTTCCAAATTTAGCTCTATTTTTTTCAAACCAATCTTGAGGTATACACTGTAACAAAACAAAAGACTAATTTTAAGTGTGAAGGAATATCGGTAAGTTCCCTTTCATGGGAACTTCGAACTGCGTCCTCTAGGGGTCGCTATGGGGAACGCCTCGTCGTGACCCGTGTCTGAAGCATACATTGAAAAAACACCAACTCGTTGGCCGGCGACAGCCATGACGTCACTACCGGTGCGACTCCAGTATAAATCGGCGCCGGGAGCTACACATCATTCTCTTCTTCGTCTTCATTGACTGTTCTGTTTGAAGCGTGCATTTTCAAGGAAAAAGTAAGAGCTATCTATTTATTATGGCGAGCACTAGTAGAGCATTTAGAAGGTGTGTGCATCCGTGTCAGCGCTATTTGACACCAGATGACACACACGATTTATGTGTTGTTTGTTTGGGCGAGGAGCACGCACGCGATGTCCTCGAGGGGGCAGTTATATACAGGGGAAACTGGAAGTACACTCTTAAAAATAAAGGTGCTTCAAACGGTTCTTCAAGCGATGCCATAGAAGAACCATTTTTGGTTCCACAAAGAACCATTCAGTCAAAGGTTCTTTAAAGAACCATCTCTTTCTTACCTTTTTATAATCTGAAGAACCTTCTTTCGCCACAAAGAACCTTTTGTGAAACAGAAAGGTTCTTCAGATGTTAAAGGTTCTTTATGGAACCATTTAGACAAAAAGGTTCTTCTATGGCATCGTGAAACACCTTTATTTTTAAGAGTGTAGATCAAACCTTACATTTAATGTAATTTTTCAGTAAAATACTACTGAATGTTCCATTTTTTGGAGGTAAAAAAAGAACAAGTCATCTTATGTAAAAACTGTATAAAAAAGGGTATTATATGTGGTATTATAATGGTTGTTAGTATATTTAATTTTTTGTTTTAAATTGTAATATTTAAAGGTTGTTCTGTAAGTATTTTTACATTTTTAACAGAATTATTCTGGTAACCACAGATGCCATTTTTTTCTGTAAAATTGACAGGATTTTATTTTTTACAGTGTAGAACACAATGTACTCAAACTAAGCATTAAATTCACACATACTATTGTCTATACAGCTTGACGTCTATAATATAATGCTTTAAAATACTCTCTCTTTACTCTCACTTTCACACATTTTGCACAAATTTAATTCCCTTCTTTTTTCTGACATACAGCTGAAAGCTGTAATTTTCTTAACATTGATTAGTATGGAAAAAACGTGCGTTTATCACTGCTGGTATGACATGCTGTGCGGTACGGGGGAGCTCAACTGTGATCATGAAAACATCACACTATGACAGCTAATTATAGTGGAGTGACAGCAGAAATGAAATCTCTTTTGTTCCACAGGCCCCTGGAGAACGAGTCTATCCATCTGAGCCAGTGCCAGGAGAGGGAAACCCATCTATTGCCAGTTTCAGCCTCCCCTCAGTCCTCATCACCCCTGCGGACCACCTCAACTCCTCTGCCCAAGCCCACCAGAGACTCCTGTCAAGGTGGCGTGAGTGTGAGGAAACGGCGGCGCCTGGCAGCCAGCCCCGGAGGACTGCACTGGGACACATCAGGTATGCCAATCACAAACATTCATCATAGTCTCCGATACCAACTCCTCTCCAAAACTCTTTTGGCTCTCAATATGTATGATTGTGCCAGTGCTGTGGGTTGAAACCTTTTTCAAGCAAGTCAAAAAATACATATGTGTAGTATTTCAGTGTCTGAACTACTATATTTGAGTTTGAGGAACCACATTTGGAGGTCTTGTGGTTTTTGAATGGATTGATTTCTCGTCTCGCTATGTTTTGCCAAGCATTGCCGTTTGTTTTTATTTGCTTGATTGCCTGTTACATCAAGCAATTTGCACAGTTTGACATACATATTTGTGAAATTCGAGGGCGTAGGTTCTCTGCAAAATTAATGACTCGAGTAATCTGGCTAATTGCTTCTGCCGGGAGTGATACTCTCACTGTGTTTGTTGCAATTACCAATAGTAAAAGGCTGATGCTGTCAAATACTGTAGGTACTGTATATGAAATTTATTTCCGCATATCTTTAGACATATCGTGTTATTTAATATTCACTACAAAGCACATCCAAATGAAAACAAAATAGATGAGACACAGCAATTAACCCTGTGCTGTGCTGAAAATTCTTTGCCTAATTTGGTGTTTGTGGTCAAAATTGCTTGTAAATCTCTCATTGTAAATCTTGGTTTCAATCTTTTTGTCAACGTTTCTTTCAATTAGCGCAGGTTTTGTATTTCTTTTTGGAACTGATTGGTCATAGGCCTCATCAGTCTGAGCTTATGCACCTTAGTTTTTGAGTGACAAAAAACTGAGTCAAAAAATAAATACAAAGCCTGGCCTAATTAAAATAAAAGTTGATAAAAAGAAATGTATAGCAATTTTTCAAAATGGAACATAACATGAGGGTTAAAGCATTTTTTTAAATAACGAGAATATCTTACAGAACATATCAAAGTATGTATTTCATATTAGTGTTTTAACTAACCTCATCCAGTGCTGGAGTTCATGCAGTTATGCTGTCAATCGTCAGAGGTGGCACTGTCATTAGTGCTTTTGTTGTATGTGAAAATGACTCCTAATTGCAGGTTTATTTGTGGCACTGCCCTGCAGGCGACCTTTATTAGCACTGTCGCAATAGTAGTGGTGAACCTTTGGATGGCATAATGAGCAATTCATTTTACATGGACTTGTCAAGGAAAACAACATTTTCTGGTACCGAGAGATGAAGAAGAGGCAGTGATATTTATTTAGTCACTCTCAAACCCCACCTACCCTTCAGAAGAGTATTATCACTATCTTTAGGGGTGGTATGGAGTGGCAGGAAATGACTTTTGTTAATGCCATAAACAGCTCTGCCTATCTCTGGAAGAGCGTATGACTGGTATGTAAACAGTGGATGGTGTTACTGGGCACTTGGAAGATTGTTAAAGAGTTTGTTCACCATAAAATGTAAATGCGGTCATCATTTACTCTCCCTTATGTCATTCCAAACCCCACTTTATTTCTTCCACGGAACATAAAAGGAGATTTTAGGCAGAATATTCACACTTTTCTCCTCACAATGAATACAGTCTTTGGAATGACATGAGAGTGAGTAAATAATGACAGAATTTTCTGATGAACTAAGAATGTATTGGGCTGTGTTTAGAATGCCATACTACTCTTACTACTGCTACAGTAAATAGTATGTATATACAGTATACCCAGTGTGCAAATTTGATGTATGTATGGATTATGCAGATAATCTACATTTACCAAAACGTACGACAAGTCAAGTCACCTTTATTTATATAGCGCTTTTAACAATACAGATTGTGTCAAAGCAACTGTACAGCATTAATTAGGAAAATAGTGTGTCAATAAGAGTTAAAAATAAATGTTAATAAATGTTAAAAATAACAAGAGTTTTTTATTTATTTATTTAGCATTTCTTAGGTTCGGAGTGTAACAAAATGTGATATATATATATATATATATATATATATATATATATATATATATAAAGTAAAAAAGGTGTTTTTTTTTGTTTTTTTGTTACATTTAGAATCTTACGTAAAATATAATTTACCATTGTTTATCTTTTGATTTGGGGATAAAATATGACTTAATATAAGATTCTCACATAATGAGTTAACTTGTGTTTTATAAAACAGATAACTTTAGCTATAAAATCTGATTGGATAAGTCAAAATTAAAAATTTGTGAAGTACCAAATAAATGTACATATGTAACCGAGCATGAATTGAATTCTATATTCATGTGGGTCCTAAGTACTTTGCTGTGACACTCATATATTTAACTCAGGTGCTGTCCATTTCTTCTGATCATCCTTGAGATGGTTCTATGGTTCTA